CAGTAATAGTTCTGCAGTATGACATGCTCGAGGCGCACACTGGAACGTTTGTAGCGAAAGGCTTGGGGGAAGAGATGAGATATGGAAACGTACAACTTTATGGATAACAACATCTGGTTTACTGCACATAGCGACGTTTCGATGTGGATTATTACACCGTTATCACTCAAGCTTGATAACGGTGTATATGCTCACCATTTTCTAGAATGCCAGTCGAACAGATAGAAGAGACGAGACTTGAGAAGTTAACGGAAAATACACGACATATCATGAGTTCAAATGGAAACTGATTCCATGTATCTATTTAATACTTGGTTTATAGGCCTACAGATGTTTGGATGCTATTCTTGGGTCTATATCAAAACTTATTTAGTTTTTGATAACTGATGGGTTTTTTTCAAACGACGATTCATGTTTGACAGAAGGAAATGAGGGCGGTTTGGCCGGTGTGCGTATCTCTTCGGGTATCAGTTATCAAACATGGTTGGCCAAGAAAAAAATCTAGCAGCAAACTCAGTAAATGATATCTGCCTAGGTCACTCTTGATATCACTAGAATCAGTCTTCAGTACTAACATGGACATATGTCAGGTCTCCACGATACGGGACAATGCTATCTAACCTCATCACGACCTTCACCTTCACTTGACACTCGTGGGCAATGGTTATACCTGGGTACGACTTTCATGTATATATAAAACGTCGTTCGACGTTCTGCCACTTTAACCACCGAGTTCTCACAAGAATCTCTGAGTTAAAGAGTGATTGAATATTGTTTTCCCCTTAGCAATATTCTAGCAATATGACGGTGGGGAACACGTTGTACCCATGTGGGGAATCGAACGCGGGACTTCGGCGTGAGGAACGACTGCTTTAAGCTACCCCACCGCCCCTATGAGGCAAAGAAGCCGTAAACTCTCCGTCCCATCACCCTGACCGGCATGTTTCTCCGACCGTGGTCGTCTACATTCCTCACTGACGTCTGGAGTGACTGACATCATATTCGGGCAGATAACACTACTTTACACACAAGTTAGTGTGGGCCCACATACTGCAAGGTCATTATCTTATGACCGGCGCTGACGTATATGATATCGGTGTAGATAGTAGCACAATGTAAAGAGAACGATATATATTACCAACGGCCTCTATGCTTATTATCCATCCCTTGCAATAAAGATGATTTCGTAGGATAAGGGCCACATAATATACACTTAAAAAGTAGGGGACCGTGAAATATAAATGTTAATTCCAAGTATTAGAACAAAGATAAATGTTGACGACAAACATACTATGCAAGAACGTGTATGTCTGTAAAACACCAAAACACGTACTATCGTTTGCACGTGCAGCACGCAGTAGCGTTACACGCATGCGTAGAGTGTCATTCCTGGGTTTGACGCTTTCAAGAAAGGTCGATTAATCTCTGTGGATCATCATGTCGGTCAATCTTATTGATTCTGCTTTTCATTCATTGTTTGTTTATGATCTAGCGATGCGGCCTCTGCGACGCGTGGAGCGTCTACGGGCTCTTGGCATGCTGGAAACAGAAGTCAACAGGTGGCCAACAGGTTCAACGTCTCACGGTCTGTAATAAGCAGACTATGGAACAGGTACCAAGAAACTCAAAATAATGTCGATCGATCCCGTTCAGGGCGTCCAAGGTCAAGGACAAGTGTACAGGATTGATTGATCCAAAACCAGGCTCTATGACGTGGGGCTCAAACGGCGCATCAAATTGCTGCATCTTTCCTTCTTTCATCAGGCTACTGGAGGACGAGATACGAGTCAGACGAATAGAAATCGTCTATATGCAGCTTATTTCCAAGCTCGACGGCCAAGCTGTGCTGCCCCTTGCAAATCGTCATATTCCCCACAGGGCTCAATGGTGTACATAACGTCGAAACTGGGGCAATCGTCGCTTGTCAGTGACTGGCGACGTCGAAATGAACGTCAACCCAATGTCAACCTGAGACCTCATGACAGATTTGGCTAAGGATCGATTATGGTGTGGGGTGGCATCACTATGACTGACCAATCCCTACTCCATATTGTGCAAGGAAGGGTCTCTGCACAGTACTATCGGGACAACACACTGACACCCTTCGATGTCCCGTTTGCGAGGCATGTGTGTCAACGTTTTGTCTTTCAGGACGGCAACTACCGTGCTCCTGTGCACGAATCGTCAATGTTCACCTCCTGCAGCACAACATCCACAGATTGCCATGACCAACAATGAGCCCAGACCTTCCCCCCACTGTCTGGCACACGATAGGGAGACGTGTACGTCAACGTCATAGGCCGCAGACCACGTTGGCTGAACGTTGCCAGGCGCTGCAAGAGGACGGGAACAGACTCCCTCAAAACAGTATGTTTCGTGGAGCGAATGAACGTTTGATATATCGTGGCGGTATTACGCACTACTGATCCAAAAATGTCAACTTTGAAATTTCCCATCTTCCCTATCGTCAATCAAGATCGTTGGCGGTCACAACATCTACTGTCATACTTCACTACCGGTTGTTATGTGTTCCCAATTCGTTCACTATTATCATACAACTATTACTAGAAACCGGTATCTCTTATCTTTTAGAAATTTTAAGTTATTTCCCCATTATAACCCTTCCCTTTTTAAGAGATCAGCAAGTCACTGTATCACTGCAGTTGTCTCCCGCGATATGACAGAGGTCACAGTTACAAGAGTTACTACGAATTAATTGTTTGATAGGCATTACTTAGAAATTAACGGATGACAATGTAGATACAATTCATAGATAACAACTTCTTTAATTACTGGACCGCCTCTGTGGTCTAGTGGTGGAGCGTCCGCCCGGAGAGCGGAAGGTCCGGGGTTTGATCTCCGACCACGTCATACCAAAAGAGGTTAAAAGATGGTACTTGTTGTTACCCTGTCTGGCGGTCGGCATTAAGGGGCTAAAACAATGAATGGTCGGCTCGGAGTCAGTATACAGTGTCTGAGTGGGGTATTCATGTTAAACTGCGGCATGGTATCTCAGTGAGCTAGCACTATAAATCAGCATCAGTCCGGACTAGTACAAGCAGCCACACAAACACACACACGTACATGCACGTCACTATATAAGTGCAATAATCTTGGACGCGACGTTAAACCCCATTTCACCTCACCTCTTTAATTACTGTACTGTTTCTGTACAGATCCTTATACCGTTGTCAATACCGTTGCCCTTGCTTGACAGCGGGATGTGATTTAAGTAGAGAAGTTGTCATCATAAATTGTGTCTACTTTGTCGAGGGTTACTACGCTATTCCTACTTATTGTATATCCGAGAAGACCTGTCTCCGAGTTTTATTCAATTCATATCATTCATACATGGGTTATTCGTTATATTATTACCCATAGTCCTTTTTTCTGTGAAAAATTAGAAAAAAGTGGAATGTAACATCTTATGTGGAAATATTAGCTGTTTCCCTATTATTAGATCAAGGTCACATAATATTGTTTGTGACGTAACCCACAATGGATGACGTCATCTTCAATTATTTGTGACAGCGCTTTTATGACGTCAGGTGACGATTATTTTCTTCGCAGATAACGAAAACAATGCGAAAAATGGAACACAGTAGCCAATCAGTGTGAAGCAAAAATGCTCGGTGAGAATTACTGAAGATAATTTCATCATTATCAAAGCTCTCATACATAATACATCAACAATACATCAATCCCAGCAGCTACATTCACCACATAGTGTACTTGTTATTGTAGCGGGTTATCGTTGATAACGTCGAATTATTTGGTTTTCACGTTGGGCTTAAATTTAGTCGTAGGGTGAAGGTGCAACCTCTCCTCGCGTGGCCTGGTCGCATCTGGTCTCAGTGTAATTACACGAAGCATCCAGTGTTGAAACCAATATGTTTGTGTACTAAAAACTGGGGGAAAATAAGAGTGAACTATTGTCTGTCAGTCATTGTAACAGTAGCAATATACATAAGTTAAGAAAACACTGCAGAGAGAATAATCCACACGGGGCTGCGCCACTCGTGGTTTATTCTCCCTTCAGTGTTTTATTGTACGATAAACAACAGCCATTCGTCGTTTATTTCTTAAGTAAGACACAGAACTTGTACATGTCTTTTGCATTTTAAAGAATATTCTATGCCCAAAGTGACAATGATCATACAGATGTCTGGTAAATGAGAGTTAATAATGCCACGCAGATGATGTGGACAGCCTTATTTAACACATGAATCTATCTTCTGTGTACAAACACTCCAGGATATCGGGATGACGCCTATCTTAATGTATAGTAGTGTAAAACACAAGCTCACAAGTTACCACACATTTCCCCTTAACGAGTGTAAACACAAATACAGATATTTCAGTTTTAATATTGACATTAAGATTTAAATGTACATTAAACATATTTCAGAAAGGATATTTGGTCAATCTAGTGCCAAAATAATCATCAAAAATCAAAGGATAAAAATATAAAAAACCCGACATGATCAAGGTTACACTTCCTATGAGGAAACAGTATTTACATGTACAAGGATATTTGCGATAGACAGTGACAAATAACGTTTTATATCGTTACCTACTCCCTAAATCTCATTTCGTTTTAGCTGAATGTCGCAAAATGACCGCAAAATGACCGCAATAATGCCGATGTCACTCACCCATTCACAGATAGCAAATTACTTTTTTTTACGCTTATTTGTGTTAGATTTACAATGACATTACATTGCACAATTGTTGCATCTTATCTCCAAACAGTAAACATGTAATGCAATATGAGACAACAACACTGTATCAGTGTGAGAAGATATCCCGTATACAAACATTCCACACGGCCATTGTAACGTGGTTTGACTGTATAGTAGACCGGTAAGTTTCATAACCACTACGGTTTTCTTTTGACAATCTAGCCGAGCAACTGTGTACTTTAAGCAACAGTTGGACGTCGTTTTAGGAAGTTGTGAAACACAGTAAGCGTTGATGATTGACCTTATATGTTTACGTACCTGTTCTTTGTCATTCTCACCGCCTGCCATCAGAAATGAGATGTGTGGTCATGTGATCATCACATTCGGTCACATGATCAGTAACGTGACTTGCACGCGAGGCCAGTCTTGATAGAAAGATAATGTTTTATTTATTAGTGATGTATGCAGATGTTTATGAAGATATGTTCATTAAATATATATATATATCATATCGGTGAATGCGCCTGGGAAATAGTTCAGGAAAAAGCTCTTTTCCCTATCGTTACATGGGAGATAACTCGTGTAGGCCTCTTTGCCCAACATCAGTAACGCATGGCAAGAGTGAATTTGTTAACAGTATTTCAGTGACGTCACAACACCTGAGCTTCGTGTGGAAGGAAAAACCGAAATAATGCAGGTTTCTGACGTTTACCACTGCAGATTAAGGGATACGTGAAACACAGCGGATACGTAGTAGTTAAATCTGCTCCACAGCTGGTGCTCTTTTATGGATTTGAACCGGTGTTATCGCCGTAAATGGTTGACTAACTGAGCTACCTCACCGACAAGTAACTTTTTAAAGGAATGCGATATTATACTCAACCAGATGTCCAATTCAGGATTTGACGTCACAACACCGTATGTGCACGCTTGAACTAGTTATTTCTGTTCTCGGAACCACGTTTTTATCCCCATTATACCCATGAAGATCTTGGTTAGAATTGATCTTCAAACCAATGCTTGCCGTTAAGAGTTGGTTGGTTTGCTTGTTTGCTGTTTTTTGCCGCACTTAGAAATATTCCAGCTATATGGCGGCGGTCTGTAAATAATCGAGTCTGGACCAGACAATCCAGTGATTAATATCATGAGCATCGATCTACTCAATTGGGATCGATGACATGCATCAACCAAGTCATCGATCCTGAATACCCGATCCCGTTATTCGCCTCTTACGACAAGCATATTCGCCTTTTACGGCAGGGATGGGTTGCTGAAGACCTTTTCTACCCCAGATCTTCACGGGTCTTGTCGTTAGAGGAGACTAACGGAATCGGGGGGTCAGACTCAGACTTGATTGATGCATGTCATCGTGTCCCAATGGCCTAGATCGATGTCCATATCAATCAATTGACTGTCTGGTCCAAACTCTATTATTTACAGATCGTCGTCATATAGCTGGAAAATTTTCGAGGGCGGCGTTAAACAACAAACAAACGAACCACATCCCCATTTTGTTACAAATGGTCCCCAGGAATCTGTACTAATCGTAGAGGCGACTAAACGGATCGGGTGGCCAGGCGTGTCATCGTACCCGGACGGGGCGGGATGTTGCTCGTTGCATCAATCACTTGTTTGGCCTATACTCGATTATTTACAGGCAACCGTCATATGCCTAGGACACTGCCGACTGCAAAACAACGAACTGACAAACCAAATGTTGTCACACAAGAGTTTGAAACTTCTTTCCTCTTTCCAGTTTTGCTTCCCGCCCAGAGTCAACTCGAACCCATTCGTCCGCGGAAGAATTGCGATAAAACTTTAATAAAACCAATGTGTTGCTACACGTATCAATGTTTCAGATATTCTTAACCGTAGACCATGAGGCGGTCAGTGATTTAAGCTACACACTTTGAACAATATTTCAGTTACGACGCGACGTCAGTATAATGTGTCATGAAAGCCCAAATAGTCACAGACCCTAGACGTTTGCCTTTCTCGTGGAACCCACAAGCAGAAGTATGGTATTAACATACATCACAGTTACAGTTATCATTTTTGGGTCGAATCTGATTTAAACCCTAAAACATAAGCGAATCCTGGCTTGACTAAGGGGCGCAACTATCAAGCAAACTATTGGGACTAAGATAAATGGGCGCCTTAACGTCGGGTTTGATTACACTGGCTCCACTGTTCTGCACAACAAGCTTTGCGCTTTTACCCACGAGGCAGCAGCCAAAAAAGAGAACGATGTCCGTTTATAACCAGCATGCATAGCTTCCTTTATTACGAATATAAACAAACAAGGAGATATATTTACACCCAGAAAACTTGTTTAGGGCGATAAAATGTATAATCACAGTTTGGTGATGTTAAACTTACTTCGCGTATGCTGCTCTTTGCGTTCATTAGATACCGAGGACCAATATGTTTGCCATGTTTGGTGTCGTCCAATCGCAGCCTACAAGAGATCTGCCACCGCCTGTCTCCTCCTTAAGGTCGACAAGTTAGACGTCAGATTGAAATGGACGATAGTATATAACGATACACAACAAGTTTTGATTGATTTTATTCAGAATCTAGTTCAAACAGGAACGTTAAATAACACAACCATACATAAATGCTCGTATGTCATAAAAGATATGTATACATCATTTGCAAACAAATACACAAGATAATTTGATCCCTTTGCTCAAGATAATACTTTTAAATTGTGTTATTCGATCATAAGAAGCGTGCTTGACACAGAGAGGTAGCATGTCTTGTAGCAGCTTAGCCCAGCATGTGTACTGTGTGTTGACAGAGCTGCCGGTACCCAAGCACTGAATACAGAGAGTACATGATCGGCCATTTATTGGTGGCTATTGAAGGCTGCGCGGATCGACCAGAGCAATACTTTTGAGAAAATGCGAAGCCGATTTTTATTTTGCCTCGTCAGACTCAACTCAACAATTTCTATCTTTCTGAAATAATTCAACGGCCTTTATCATATATTATCGATCTGAAAAAAAGATTATTTTCAAGGATGTTTAGGGTAAAATATCCTATCACACCTTCGCGTAGTTTGGTTTCAAGTAGATATAATTTACAGGTGGTGTTAAAATTGTATTCGAAACCATTATATTTCGTTCTTGACGGGTGATTTCAAAAACACTGAACATAGTTTTAAGAATAATATATCCCATAGGTAATGTGTGGGTGAGAGTGGTCTTATGCCACTTTAAGCAATTGTCCAGTAACAGAACGGGGGAGGGTAGACACCAGAAATGGTTTCCACACATTGTACCCATGTTGGGAATCCCGGGGCTTCGGCGTGGCGAGTGAACACTTAAACCAACCTACCCCATGTGAAATGAATATTACATGAATAGAAACGTATTACACTTGTCAATGAACGGCAGCTTTGAAGCAAAAATCAATGTAAGTTGGAATTCTATCATGCTCGTTTGTGCTGGTCGGTCCGTTGAACTGAATAGTGAGTGAGTGAGTGTGGTTTTACGCCGCTTTTAGCAATATTCCAGCAATATCACGGCGGGGAACACCAGAAATGGGCTTTACACATTGTATCCATGTCGGGAATCGAACCCGGGTCTTCGGCGTGACGAGCGAACGCTTTGACCACACAGCCACCCAACATCTGCAGCCTTGATAACGATCAACATTATTTCATTTTTAGAGCTACAGTATTCGTAGCACGGAGAGTCTCAGATCGATGCAGAGCGACCGTACATTTCACGAAACTGCTATGAATATTTTATATCTTCTGTAAAAGAAGTTCTTAACATTCTTACGCATTGGACTCATACCGTTATGGCTGTCAATGTGGCGGTCACGTGACCCACTTCTTGTCTGACCAGTAGCCAGAAAACGTTGTTACATTAACTAAACATCTTTTTTCTGTATTTTAGTTTGGATAAAAACATGGTGACTGTTGGTAAGCACGATTCCAGTGGACAGTAGCTACAAATATCCAACAAATGACATTCTCATAACGTACTTAATCATGCAAATGTTTTTTTTTGTAGCTCGCCACTAAAAGCCAGCGATGTTTCTGCAGGCTTACAAATATATACAATAAGATGAGAAATTGCACTTATTCATAATGTAACATAGAAATGCATATTCCGGAAGCATTGTTCAATTATATATGAATCAGAACACTCTTTCAAGCAAAATATTTACAAAATACACCTACTCTGAAGTAGTGTTCTAATTGATCATCGGAGCGTTGTATGGATGCTCAGAGCCTGTCTACAGCACTACAGCAAATATTGTCCTTTATAGTGGATGTCATAATCTTGATCAGTTACATGGTATCAGTGTGTACATACACCACACTTATCTATACATTCTACCCATCCATTTTCCATTATTTACTTAGTATTAAACAAAAACTGTAACGAGAAAATAAAACGACATAAATTCACAAATTTAGTTTGATATATGCGTAATTCCAAATGTAAGTGATTATAAAACCTGATGCACATTGACTATCCGTGATTATGTAATTAAATATTTTATATTTATTATTTTATTTATTACTCTTGTGAAGAAACTCCTTGCTAACGTTGTGGAACGTTGACAAAAATCCTTGTCCATTAAGCTCCACAATAGCCATTACACGTCAAATTTGACGGATGTAGATTTGACACGAGACTGATACAGATTTTATTGGTTGAAGGGAAATATCTAACTCTTATACTTTCTTCTGCGAGACATCACTCAAAGTAGATTTATAACGATCTAACGATGTAAGATTGTAGGGGGGGGGGGGGCAATTCCCGTCACACAGTTAATAGCCAAGAAGATTCTGTTCAACCATATAATTAAGATATGTACATCAGTTGGAAAATGGAAAATTGCCGTTTGTTTTAAAAAAGAAAGAAAAGATAGCTACATGAGAATGTCACGTGTCGAACATGGGCAATGTTTGCGTAAGTAACGCTATGACATTACCTTACCGTAGATATATTTTTCATTTCTATAAACTTGGCATTAAGGGACGACATTGTTTTTTTCTTTACTTAATAATAAATCGAAGGCGAAATACTGCCGCTGTGTGATAGGAATATACAGAGCGTTCAGGTACGGACTGAATGTGAACGATTGCTTTGAAACAGTTTGACTGATAATATTTGAAATTTCAATGGAAACGATGTAAATTCACGAATAGTATTCGATGTATTACTATGGAACTTTAGCTTCACGTTAAGTGTTCGTGTTTATCGTGAGCGTCATTCGGGTTTCATTACAATATGAACTATCTGTATCCTTAACAAAAGTTGAGTAGAATAGCATAAGCAGGTATCTTAGTACAGTACGTCTCTTTGGGTTTATTTTTGTCAGAGTCTGTATGCGATGTTCATCATTGAGACACGACACGCGGCCGTACAGATGTTCGTGTTTATACCTATAGCATACCAACATATCAAAGTGTAAAACCACTGTACATCCTCCCTGGCGTTACACTTTGTCACGATAGTAACATCAGGATACGACACATGAACACCCACTTTTGTTAACTGTCTATTCCATCACAAAACGGTTGGACGACACTTAAACCATTATCGTAAAGATGAAGCAAAAAAATTAATGCCTTTAGGTATTGTCAGAAAATGTACCTCAAAACATGACATCCACATATGTATCCACTTGTTGCTTGGTATCGATACAAAACCTCAATAATCGATACCGGTACCGGTACCACGGTGGCTCCTTTAAGCCCTATCTACAGTACATCAATGTCGGCGTGTTGTAAATATCAGAAATATGAACAGTTTTCTCGCAGAAGTATGCCCTTGTTAATATTCCCAGGAATCACAATGTGTTCCAGTCGACACAAGCCATCATTCAACAGAGACGGGATCTTCAGAACAAATAGTGGTCAAGCTTTGCAACGATTCTTCAGCATGGCATAAGCATCTTTGGAATTTCATGACAACGGCCTTCGTGTTTTACTACATGTGTTCGTCTTTCTTTGGCAATAAAACTAACTGCCATGTTGCAGCGACGACAGAGCCTACCAGCACATATTCCATGAATTTGGAAACCTGCTATATTTGTTCAGCGTTCTTTTGTAGCCGATCGTTTTTAGGTTGAAACTGAAAAACTGTCACACATGACGTTGTTTTAATAATCGGTTGTCAGCCCTGGTTTTGGATTGTCAAGTTGACGTCAGTTTAGCTGGTGCAACTGGCTTTCACGCAGTCTTCATCCACGGATCAATAGAGGCTACGAAAAGGTCACGTTGTCCTCTTGAACAGCATCCACAGAAATCGAGTTTTATGCACACCGAGAAAGCTTTATACACCAATGGGCCCATGTGAGTTTACACCAGCGTGAGTCTCGTATCTCAGTGACAGCCACATGCCTTTACTATCATCCCCTTGTATTTTTTCAGCACAACGTTCGAGTTATGGTCGAAATATAAGACGGATATTGCCGTGAGTTTGGTGGGAGCACAGCAAGGTTTGGGGGCCATGAAGGGATCCATGAGATGTACAAGAGTCTGAACAATGGCGTGGTTCGTGGCGTTCATGTGAGCTCCGAGGGGGAAGGCACATTCTCCATCGCAGTAGAACGCCGAGTAACCGTCAGGGGCGATAATCCAGTCCTGAAAAATATCATTAGGAATCTTAGCAAATGAACAACAGGACCATGCTGTTTCGAAGTAGTTTCGTAAGACCCCAGAGAATATATTTTATAACGCAACAACCCATTGCATTCGCATCCCCCTCTCAGCTCTAGCTGCCTACACTCATCCCCTCTCAGCTCTAGCTGCCTACACTCATCCCCTCAGCTCTATCAGCCTACATGCATCACCTCAGCTCTAGCAGCCAACACTCATCCCCTCAGCTCTAGCAGCCTACACGCATCACCTCAGCTCTAGCAGCCTACACTCATCCCCTCAGCTCTAGCAGCCTACACGCATCACCTGAGCTCTAGCAGCCTACACTCATCACCTCAGCTCTAGCAGCCTACACGCATCCCCTCAGCTCTAGCAGCCTACACTCATCCCCTCAGCTCTAGCAGCCTACACGCATCCCCTCAGCTCTAGCAGCCTTCACGCATCCCCTCAGCTCTAGCAGCCTACACTCATCCCCTCAGCTCTATCAGCCTACACGCATCCCTTCAGCTCTAGCAGCCTACACGCATCCCCTCAGCTCTATCAGCCTACACTCATCCCCTCAGCTCTATCAGCCTACACGCATCCCCTCAGCTCTAAGAACAAATGAGGTTTAATACTCCAGGTCTCCTTTATAGGCTTTTTTCAAACTTATACATAACTGTTTATCATGGACTACAAGGCAGTCTAGAAACTGTTGTGTACTGTGCTGTGCTTGTGCGAGTCAGATAAGAGTGGTGGAGTATTTTTTGTGTGCGCGCGCGTGCGTTATTGTGTAGAGTTAAACACGTCCGAATCTGGACTAAAATTATTTAAAAAGATGTGCAAAATGACAAATAATTGGTCACAGACCCTGAAACAAAAATACCCATGCAAGTCTATAATAGTTTGGCAAGTCTAGATTTCTTAATTTCCTGAAAATGAACAGATTCTTCCTTGTCTTCTTATCATTATAAAAAAGACAATTTAGCGAATTATAGTTTTGGTAATACTATATCTAGCAATCAATAACTTCCTAATCCATTTTATTCCAGGGGCAGTCGGGTAGCCTAGTGGTTAAAGCGTTCGCTCGTCACGCCGAGAACCAAGGTTCGATTCCAGACATGGATACAATGTGTAAAGCCGGCCGTGATATTGCTGGTATATTGCTAAAATCGGCGTAAAACCATACTCACTCACTCATTTCATTCCAAATACCAAACATCAACTTCAAAGACAATCCATTCCCGATTTAAAGGTGAAGGGGTGCGATGTCAGTCACCACAAGAGAGCTTCATCGTTTAACTAATACCAGCTAAGCATTAGCAGCAAATGAGTCGTTTATCGGTTGGCATGGAGTTGCACTGAAGTAACACATGCACCTGCCCTGAACACAACACACACAGACACCGAGTTGATGATAGCGGCGGCCAGCTGCTGGGCGAATAAAGATGCCTAGATTCCAACTGGAAAGGTTCTAAAAAGGTTTTGCCTTAATTCAAAACAAAAAGAGGGTAGTATGTGACCTTTGCACTTTCATCCCCCACTTCAGTGAGTGAGTATGGTTTTACGCCGCTTTTAGCAATATTCCAGCAATATCGAGGCGGGGGACACCAGAAATGGGCTTCACACATTGTACCCATGTCGGGAATCGAACCCGGGTCTTCGGCGTAACGAGCGAACGCTTTAACCGCTAGGCTACCCGACCGCCCTCTCCCACTTCAAGTCAACCATACCGTCACTACTTCAAGGATACTGTTTTCTACTACTGAGTTTACAAATTGCTACTTTTGTATTCCAATATCGCACTAATTAAATATGACATTATTCCTATTCCTATTTTATATAATTACACATCACTCATGTAATAGCACTACAGTAATCATCATGCGTTAACGTTACACTCTATCGTGTGTTTGATTTTGATTTGACTTGTTGTTTAACGCCGCACGCAAAATGACGGCGGTCTGTGGACCAGACAATCCAGTGATTGATATCATGAGCATCAATCCATGCAATTGAGATACGACGACATGCATCAGCCAAGTCAGCGAGCCTGACCACCCGATACCGTTAGTCGCCTCTTACGACAAGCATAGTCGCCTTTAAGACAAGCATAGTCGCCTTTAAAACAAGCATAGTCGCCTTTAAGACAAGCATAGTCGCCTTTAAGACAAGCATAGTCGCCTTTAAGACAAGCATGGGTTGCTGAAGACCTATTCTACCCCGGTTTTTCGGGTCTTATGTGTTTGAGCAAGTTTCCATACACAACCAATACCTCTAGTCTATATCCCAAGTCCACGCCCTGTGGCGGGACCGTGTTATCCCAAATATTCCAGTTCTCGCAATTCAGACATGTACTTTCTTTATCGTAACTGGATACCATCGTGCGTGCTGTTTTGAAAAAAATACTACTTCAACAAACGCAACGGCCTTACGTTAAAATCTAACAAGCAAGTAATCAAACATTCAGAGAATATTAGTTTTCTTTGAGATTAGCTCTAGCTTAAAAGCACTAGTCGGAGAGTGCGGCGCGGAATGACAAATTGAGCACGTTCTGACAACTGACTTAGGTCTCTCTACCATAACTCATTTGATAAGCACTTGGCGTACCCCAGCTGGCGGTGAGGGCGCTGCATATTATTGATCAAAGATGATGGATGTCCCATTAGGTTGCGTCAGAGTCGGTCGAAACTGTTCGAGCCAAGTCATGAATGAAATTATTTCTTGGCGTTTCTAATACTATTTGCCAAACAGTAAAACGGTGGCAGTTTAAGTAAACACTGCGGAAGGTTGTACCGCGGCGGTAATCGATATCGGCGGGCCTTGGGTAGATGTTATTGATGGCACAGCATGACAACACAGTCATGTTAAACAGATACATACATGTGACTAATTGCCGTCACTCACGTGGCTGTTACAAAGTGATTCATGTTGAATTCTGACCGTCTTGTTAAGCCGTCCCTATCAGTAGCCCCTCAACTAGGGATTACTCAGTCAATGATTGCAACATTCTCAGGCAACTGGGAGGCCCAGTCGTCTAAGGCGCCGCAATTCGCTATGCAGAGTTGCGTCCCTTGGGCACGCCAGGAACCCATGGTCGTGGGTTCGAATCCTGGTTCGCCACGATTATGTTTCCCGGTTTCTCAGCACCATACCAGAGCTGGTGGGTTCCACCAAAATGGAAAACCTCTAAGACCTGCATCACCTGTGAAGCTGACATGCCATAATAAATCTGGAATACGGTTCATAGCCGCGTTAACCCTGAAACACTCATTCACTCTTATGACAGTACGCCCTGATTATTTGTGTATTGGATGGAGATGTATCATTGTGGATCTGATGGGACTGTGTATTAAGTAAGTATGTGAGCGTGGCTGCACACCAGTCAGTATGTTTCAGCAATATAACGTTGACATGAACATTATCGAGCCCCAAATGACAACCAACGTCATCGTGACACATGTAGGGTGGGTCGTTATCAGCCAAGTCTGAGGAGCAGGTCACTTGATCCAACTTGTGTCTGTTCTTACGACAATCATAAGGTACTGTTAACCTATTCTGATCTGGAATCCCGATAAGGTTATCACGGAGGCCTGGGATTGATCGCCTCTTGCCATTGATTTACAGCATGAGCAACGAACCACGCAACGGTGACGAACAAATGTCCTGTTCAAACATGGTGAGGTGAAATAGGGTTTAACGTCGCGTTTAAGATTATTGCACTTATAAAGCGACATGAATGCACGTGTACGTGTGTGTGTGTGTGTGTGTGTGTGTGTGTGTGTGCTTGTAATAGTCCACACTAATGCCGATTCTATAGTGCTAGCCCATTGAGCTAGCAACGACACCGTTGAAGAATTTGTATTGTGACTGACTCTTGGGAACTCATGGTGGTGTGACCCGTTTCAGGACACACACTGTTACAAAACAGCACCTTGTTCGCATGTCACATGATCTGCTGAGATACCATGCCGCGGTTTAATATGAATATCCCACTCAGACACAGTATACCAACTCCGAGCCGATCAGTCCTTGTTCTAGCCTCTTAATGCCGAGCGCCAGACAGGGTAACAACAAGTACCATATTTTAACGTCTTTGCTATAACGCGGCCGGGCGGACGCTCTACCACTGAGCCACCGAGGCGGTACCAAACATGGTAACCATCCGATATTTATGTAGTTCAGTTCCTAGAAACATCTGAAGCTTCAACATAACCACGATTAACATAAGCTTCACTTCCAACGAAGTAACATTTAAAAATCATTCGGAGAACTCTTAACATATAACAACTCATGCAATTTTCATTAGAGTCTAGGACAATACATATAAGGTTCGCGAAACAAGGAAAAAACACAATATTTAAATCATTATTATCATTTTCTTTTTATGATCGTTTAAATGTAACATTTTTTTCATAATCATCTACCAGCTCATCTTTTTGGACAAATCAGTCTGAAGAAACGAATCAACTTATTGCCAAAAGGACAATTGACGCACCTGCCATCCAAGGTCTCTGAAGCTCACGTACAGTGTTCTGCGTTGGCAGGCCTTTCGCTGGAACCTTGGAAAGTCTGAAATGTAACAAGCAATGTCACCTCAAACTACATGTCACGCCATAGCCTACAGTCACATTGAGCACAACCCTCAGGCGAGTATTTAAGTCGCTTTGCTACCTTTGCACAAAGCTTTCAAGTCATCACAATGTAGTGCCACCACCCTAACTCTCCTTGATATGTAGTCAACACTTTATACTGTCAATCAGAGCAATTTTACAAAATGTTGCAATCAGCATTGATGCAAATATATGCATAACGACTGAGGAATGACACACATGCCAAAGTTGTGAATCGGCTTCCTCAGACTGGCATTTTTTGGAGAGTACGTTTGTAGGACAGCAAATGCATTTTGATAGAATTTGAGATCTTTGTCACATCAAGGTCAATATTAAAAATATGGTGCAAAACGGAACGTATGTGCCCTACTAACTACATCCCATTACAACCTGAACAGAAAATGGCTTTATAATTGCCACATATATCAATTTGTCAATATGGCTGCCGTGGCGGCCATATTGAAAATCAGCTTCCATCATCTTGAAAACATTCAAATGTCACTGGTGGGAAGAAACGTAAAGAAGGAGAAGAAGAAGCATTTAGCAAAAATACACATGACATCAGGTGAGCTAAAAAGCTAATGACAACTTTTTGAATGTTTAATTTACAAACACAGAAACTTGTTCCTTCCATTCTTTATCCATCTGCTGGAACTATTTTGAAGTGTGAAATCAGGATCTTGCTAAGACTCTACAGGGGATGACGACCGATTGCTCAGTATATTCGACAGCTTATATCCACAACCACAATTTTGAATTGATCTTTTTCTATATGTCATGATACACTTTCTGCATAGTTAATGCACTGATGTGATATGATACACTGTTTGCAGGCATAAACCTTGGAGATAAGGCTCAAGATTTGTATCCAAATACTAGTATTATCTTTGCTTATGTTCTACAGATAACAAGGCTCAGACTTCTACAACTATTAACATTCTACGACGCCATAATCTTAAACATTCATGAACTCTGTTCATTATAGAAATCCATGAGGCGAAGGAGTTTTGAAAACGAAAGAAAACAATTAATTACTCATAACGAATTTCTTTGTTTGTTTCTTGTTCAACGCCGTACTATGAGGACGGTCTGTATATTTTACCCCCAACTCAGCAATATCCAAACTGTATGACGGCGGTCTGTAAATAATCAAGTCTTGGCTAGACAATCCGGTGACTCACATAATGAGCATCGATCTACGCAATTGGGATATGATGACATGCATAAACCAATCAGTATCAACCTGATCACCCCGATCCCTCTAGTCGCCTCTTCCAACAAGCATGGGTGCCTGAAGACTTCTTGTCTACCCGGATCTTTAGGGTAGCATAACAACTTACTGCCTGGGTAGGACGGCTGGTCTGCGTAGGTGACGTCTTGGCGGTACCGCCGTCGCGTGGAACGGCGACGTCGTTCGTGCAGTTCGCTATCCATCCGGAAATACCCGACTAGAAACGGCTGTTTGGCCATTGAACCCCGCCGTCCCACTATGCCAATTGGTCTTGGATCCACATCCTGACCTGAAATATGAATTGAATTAATTGACTTCATTATGCGTTTGCGTTTATGGAGATAGAAGGCGTAAACACGTGTGTGCATAATGTTTAAATCCGCGCAATTCCATAAACGCAACTATATTTGAAAGTCAATTCTTCTAAATAAATGCGTTAACAATGCTTACTTCACAGACTGCTTCTTTTATCATTTACATTAAAAATATCCTGTAGACAGCAATACGAATCAGTGACGTCGTTGGGGGCATTAATGTGACACTAACCTCGCCCATTTTATTATCAGCCAATCAGTAAACACCAGTCCGCTACTGGGCGTGGCCTATTTTGTTTCGGTTCATTGAACCATAAACACAATAATGAATTGCTTGTTTGGCTAAAAAATGACACGGTTCCTTGCAATTTAAATATTCTTAGTTCAAGGAGGTTTTTGAAAAATTATTGAAAACCCCTTTATAGAACTTAAATATCTGCTCTGAAACGTAACCGTGAGTGCCGTGAAGTAATTACTAGGATGATGGCCCACTATAGATAAGATCCACGGTACAAATGCTTTTCGACTGATTTGTTTGCTTCATGATCTGTTTACCTAATGTATTGACTCGTCAAAAGTATAACAGATAAAAAGACATATACAATATCTTGAATGGACAGTGTAAGATGTGACGAATCGTCCCATCTCGCTGGGCTGTGGCAAAGGTACCAGGTTGGCCGCAAGGAACTCTGGGGGTGGCATAGGGCTCCTTAAAGGGGGACTACACTTGGATCAACTGGAAGTCCCAGCACATTTGAATCAAGTCATTCTAAACCAGCATATCGTGCAATGGTCCCCTCATAACATGACAAAATGAATGCTTCATGTTTCCCATTAGTGTAACACGACCTTACTGTCGAAATACACATAGCTTACCTCTAGATCCGGTGATTTTCATGAAGAGGCCGAGGTTTGAACCTGGATTCCGTGTCCACTTCTCCGCCGCTCCGGTCACGTTTAAACGAAGCCATCCTCGGTAATCTCCCTTTATGGTAGTATTTAGTTCCGACTCCAAAACTTTATCTCTGGAACAATAACGTTCATGAACTTATCTCTAACACTTGTCGTAAACAAGCAGACATAACATAAACACGATAAACACGAGGGTCGAAGTGTACCGCGATAGGTGATTGTCTTGTACAATATTGGCTTTTCTAATGCGATTAATAGCCTGGTCACTGCAATTTCGAGAAAAAAATTATTTTTGTGTTTGTTATTTAACGCGGCATATTTAGCAGTATTCCATATATGTGACAGCGGTCTGTAAATAATCTGACAATCCAGTGACTGACACCATGAGATCGATCTAAGATGACACGCATCAACCAAGTCAGCGAGTCTGACCACCCCATCTGGTCAGTTGCCTCTTACGACAAGCATAGCCGCCTTTTAGGCAAGCGTGGATTGCTGAAGACCTATATTAACCCATTCACGGGTGTGGAAACGTATGGTAAACTATGTTTCACAGTAATCTTTAGTCTGCCTCACAGTCCTTGAACCGTAATATTTTTCCATCCGCCAAGCCCTTTCTGTAACATAACAGCCTTACATGAAGCAAGTTTAATCCCTTATCATTAGATTTTCCTGAAATTTCAAATCTCACGCGGGCTCCTTGTTAATTTAAATGGAGTTATTTTTCTATCACAATTATATATTTTTAGCGACTAAGCGTTGTCTAGTAATTCTTTCTGGCAGGTATTTGTTTTTATTAAGGAAATGTGATAAAAATTATCGCATTTTCACACACTACAATAGAGAGGGATCGATTCTCAGTGAGTTATGACACTAATCTGCAGGATCTACATACTCGGGGTCACGACCTTGTTTCATTCGGAACAGCTCAATGTGGAAGTCTTGGTGGCGGTAATGCCCTCGGTGCGCACGTTCTTTGTACAGCCGGAGTTCAGAACCGGACACCTGTTCGCCGATAGCAACCTCGCTGAAGTCAAAGTAAAACGTTCTGTCACGTTCATGACGAAGATGGGACCGCTTGTTCGCTGTGAATAGAAAATACATCAAATAATTCAATCATAAAGTACAGAAAGAAAAACTACACTAGGCTTGCTTCCCTCTTGGGACATGAACTAATTGTGCCAAACATACTTCTCAAATCGTGTAATACTACTGAAAACCCTTCTCTAAAACTTGTTAAAATCATGAAATTGTTGTTTTTTTATTGTATGAATGAAAGCTTTCCTTGATGCAGATGTGAGGGGCAGAACGACTTCAAAACAAAGTTCCAACTGAAGAAAGCATCTTAATGGCCTTCCTAGGGCCACACACGTTTATAATGGATGGTTTTTGGAGTACCCCCTCATGTGTACGTAACAACTTAAGCCTTCTGACTTGTGATGTACAAGAGCGGGATTTAAAAGCCTTTACGTGTCCCACCGTGTAATAGATGTATAACGTCGTGCTACGCCAGTTGTGAAAGCCAGAGAACTACATCCTGGTGTAACAATGGTTGGATGAGTGAGTTAAAGCTTAAAGCTTCTTTGATCAAATTTCAGTTAAATCACGGCGTGTCAGCTTTGGGAAATTCAGAAATGGTTGTAGGTGCTTACGCACATTGATATTTGTTTGTTGTTGTTTAACGCCGCAACTGGGGTACGATGACATGCATTTACCAAGTCTGCGAGCCTGACCACCCGATCACGTCAGTCGCCTTTTACGACAAGCAGGGGTTACTGAAGAAATTCTAACCCGGATCTTCAAAGTGAAAACCTTTAACATTGGTGAAATCATACGCCAAGGTGCAGACAAATCTCGGGCCAATCGCATACAATGTTCGACTCATAGATATCATCAAGATTTGTTGTTGTGAAACGTTAGTCAATACTAATGGATAAATACAAGGGAAAAGACTGGCGGCACAAAGAGATACGTAATATCCGACATGAAGCAACACTATTAAGGAAAACTTTGTGTGGTCCGAACTTCAATTAAAAAAATGTTTTGAACGCCATTCTTAGCGTTTCATCTTATTTCGCACTGTCTATTTAAAGTAGCAAAGCCATTTTTTAAAATCTTAAATGGGTTTGGTAGTTTTCAAGCTGATTTAATGAAGCCTTGAATGGTGCACCACAATGACAGCTTGAGGCGTACTATTCTGCGAGATCATTAGTAAGCGGCCTCTTCCGCAAACTCTGGCGCAGCGCCATTATATCTTATTAACTGTAATAGCTCATGGCAGCGACGTTTAACGAGATCATAAGCTATTAGTTTAAGTAGGACACATTTTCCAGTTCGCCCATCTCTATTCCTAGTCATCAAGAAGTATGCCCATGTAGTCTTCAATTTGTATTCCTACCACAAATCTGTATTCTCCGTCACCTATCTGTATTCTCCGTCACCTATCTCTATTCTCCGTCACAATCTGTATTCTTCAACCCGTAAAGATCCGGGTTAGAATAGGTCTTCAGCAACGACTATGTCGTAAGAAGCGACTAACGGGATCGGGTGGTCAGGCGCGCTGAAGTGACATTTCACTTTTCCCATTTCTCAGTCACATAGCTGTGTTCACAGTCACCTATCCCATTTCTCAGTCACCTGTCCCATTTCTCAGTCACCTATCCCATTTCTCAGTCACCTATCCCATTTCACAGTCACATAGCTGTGTTCACAGTCACCTATCCCATTTTTCAGTCACCTATCCCATTTTTCAGTCACCTATCCCATTTTCAGTCACCTATCCCATTTCACAGTCACCTATCCCATTTTTCAGTCACCTATCCCATTTCACAGTCACCTATCCCATTTCTCAGTCACCTATCCCATTTCTCAGTCAGCTATCCCATTTCTCAGTCACCTATCCCATTTTTTAGTCACCTATCCCATTTCACAGTCACCTATCCCATTTCACAGTCACCTATCCCATTTCTCAGTCACCTATCCCATTTCTCAGTCAGCTAGCTATGTTCCCAGCCAACTCTCCCATTTCTCAGTCACCAGGCTATGTTCTTAGTCACCTGGCTGTGTTTCAATCACCCACTCCCTTTCTCATTTACCAACCTGTATTGGTTAGAGTCGTTATCGAGTATCATGGTTGCAGCAGTGTATACAGTAATTAGGTGGTAGCCGTATAAAGTTAATAGTGGACGTTATTCTGCAGGTTAGAGTTCCTACCATACTGATACTACCCCTGAATTGTATACTGTTATCCATACAGATGCATAACATAGACAATCAAATCAGGGTCTTCAAGGTGATGCGTCAATGCTTTAAGCACTGTGCTACCACATGCTAAGATATGGACGGCCATACTTGATGTACAAAGAAAATTTGTAACGTGATATTAAAAACAACAAATATTCCAGAATGAAAGATGAATATCCGTGTACACGTTAGTGAGTGAGTGAGTTGGGTTTAACACTGCTGTGGACATTATTTCAGTCACACCCCTGCGTGTCATTTTGTAAAAAACAACAAAAAACAACAACAGGCTAGGTATGGTGCTGACAAACCAAGAATCGTAATCGTGACGAATCTGGGAACAGAACTCACAACCATTGGAACTTCCAAAGGGACGCAACTCTGGTGAGCAAATTGTGGCGCTTTTGACGTCAGGCCACCTGTTTCTAGTATACATGTCGGAGATATCTTAGAAGTTGCGAGGTGAAAGGTTAGAGAATAAATGCAAGCGTGTCACCTTTATATCCATGCAGTAGCGTCACATTTATAGAATTACGACGTAATCCATTACAATGATACGTCAACTGACAGTGTTAACTTAGCAGATGCAAGTGAATATACATGCGGACATTAACGCAAATGTGGTTAGGCAGTGAAACATTTTAACAGGGGCATCGCAGCAAATCACGTCTTTCTAATTACGTCAACAACTCCTGCTGAAACATCTGCCAATACATCACACGCCCTCGACTCACGAGGATGATATAACTACACCAGCTAGCGTGTTGATAGGCGCACTTCACTACATGCAGAATACCTGATCTCCGACAAAGTGATGCGTATCCGTGCTCGGACCGGTAACGTTGGCGCGGGCATCTCGCAAGTTTACGTACTCTTCCTTCTGAATAAAAATAGGTACAATTTCAACTGTCACTGCCATACACTACATATAATCTCATCGAGCCGTAGCAAGACAGCACTGTATTAGTTCAATGTTTTTTGTATGGGAATTGGGTTAGCAAAGAATATTTAACCTTATTTAAGTGTTCTGTATTAGCTAAGCGCATCAACCATTAAATACGAGCACGGCTAGGCAACACTTGAACCGCAATGCAAAGATCTAAACTGAAATGAAACATGCTGGATGAAATGTACCGTTTTAATTAAGGGAAAGACATAAAACAGACAAGTATGCAAAATATTATCTGTACCTTTCATATACACATATACAGCGCATGCGCTACATGTGATATTTGACATGTACCAGAGATATCTAAATTTAATTAAAATGTATCATACACAAGGGGTTTAACTATTTATTACATACTTCAGAGTTTTCCGAAGTCGAGAAATGTGATATTGTCACTGCAGTGTAAATACCACTTGATATTTCACTGCAGTGAACACAACACTTTGACGGAACTATTGTCATACAAGAGTTCCCTACCCTCAAACTGTCTCCCCATTTCATAAGTGTCTCGCCCGCACACAAAGTGTTGACGTCCTTTTTACGTTAGTTTGACGTTGACAAGGCAGAATATCGACAGATGGTCACTTATTGAGTAAATATAGCTTCTTGCCGTTTTTTATTCTCTTGAAAATGTTTCGTTATAAACTGTACATTTCGCATTCAACTCGTCAACCGAGTCTGTTCGTTTCGAGGCAAAGCGCCATTATACCTCAATTCTTTTTAGACAACTAAACAAAAAGTATATAACAAATAGGTAATTCCAGGAGTCTCGTGTTTCCCTCAACTCGTGACAGGGGATAGGAAATATTTTCGTATAGTATATCCGAAGACCCAAATCATAACACATCAAAATACATCCCTCACACAAAAATCTTTAAGTGAGTGTGAGTGAGTGAGTGAGTTTGATTTTACTCCGCTTTTAGCAATATTCCAGCAATATCAAGGCGGGGGATACCAGAAATGGGCCTCACACATTGTACCCATGTCGGGAATCGAACCCGGGTCTTCGACGTGACGAGCGAACGCTTTAACCACTAGGCTACCCGACCTCTCCCTGTAAGTTTACGGTCTACATTGCAAACCCGTTAATCCAGACAAAGTGAAACGTTCCGGATTAACAAATCATGAATTCGATCCGGGTTAGAATAGGTCTCCAAAGCTTGCCTTTAGAGGCAACTATGCTTGAGGTGAAAGGTGAGTGATAGGATCGGGTGGTCAGGCTCGCTGACTTGGTTGATGCTTGTCATCGTATCCCAACTGCGTAGATTATCTAGTCCAAACTCGATTAGAAATACAGATCTACTTCATATAGCTAGATTATTGCTGAGTGCGGCGTAAAACAAGAAATAAGTAACTGTCCACAATGAGGAATTTCCGTTCAAACGAAGTTTTACTGCCGCGATAACGCGATACATCAAACTTTCATTGTCATTCCGCCGATGTGTTTCTGCAGTTTCCCCCGATGTGTTTCTACAGTCAACACGTGCAAGCTTGCATTCGACTGGCAACACACATTAGCTTCACGTGTTCGTATTTTGCTTCCACGTTATTGCATTACCACCAGGCGGAACACAACCTTTCAGCGGGGTCGCAGTTCCTTCTCTGTAAGTCCCAGCGTGCATCTGTAATTACCCTGGTGGTCCATATCGTAACTATCGCATAACAAGCGGGGTAACTCTTTCAGAGTGTAAACAGTTTAGACAAGTGCCGACATAGCGGGCTGCCTTGATGAGATATTGATGATGGAGTGAAGTCAAGAGAATGCAACACGGCTGAAGCGAACTTGAATGCACCGTCTTTGGAAACCAGGCACGTAGTGGTAGAGTGCCAACACTGGAAGGCGCGTGGAATTTGATGCTGTGGTTTCCTTGACGTGTGTCCATGTAAGAGTTTTGA